GAATGGATGATGTCACACTGGTGTACACGACAGTCTTACACTGCTCGTTAGCAGCACTGTTAACAGGTATTACAGTTTAAACGAAGACTGCGAGTCGCTCTTCACACTCAACCCAGTTTTGAAATACCTGTGTCGTGCACAGATATTTCAGGCTCATCTTTCGTGTTCTAAAGCAACTATTAGAGGCTTTTTCACTGAAAGCCTTACATGCTAAAAATGAGTTTTCAGGTTCTGTAACCAGCAGCAGATAAATCCCACAAATAGATGATGCAAGTAGAACGTTAGTCCATAGAACACACCCTAGGCAGAAATGGAATTTAAAAAGAAATGCAAACTGAACAGGCTTATAGTTACAATTTCTAAGAAACAACAGACACTATAAACATGAAACATATTCTGTACGTATTTCTGGAAGAAAAGGCTTATTTTTTTAGCTTTTACTTTAAATAAATTGGCAGGCTGGTTTTTCTTCAGATGTAAAACCATCTTACTGACTATACCAGTTTGTGCACTGGTGGATCAAGCTTCAAGTCAAACAGACTAGAGGAGGAGCAAGTTAAGCCTATGAATCTCTGCTCATTCCTCTTTTCTTGACAGAAGAAACATTCTGGTGTATGACAGAAGTATAAGAAAAACTCGTTGGATTTCTTATAGTATTTAGCACTCCAAACATGATCCTCCTAAGCAGTTATTACAAGAGTTTTTACACCTGCATCATTCTAGTGGCACACTTTAATTGGTGACACGTCGAGGAGCAAACTGGAGAAGTTAAGAGCATGGGCAAGAAAGGACTTAATGGACCTACCTGTGTCAATTCGTTCCCATTTCCCAGATCATCAAGAGGATTTCGCGGAGCCTTTAGAATCTAAAAGAAAATACAGCAGTTGAGAAGATCAGCTCCAACTACAAGAACTGGTTACTTGCTGGAGAGTATTTGTAAGAGCCACCAGTGCCCTCGTCAACAATATCAATCCAATAGGCTCTTTCTTTGCTTTTGGAATGCTTTTCTTCAAAGTGAGGAGAAAACAAGTTCCGCTTCACAGCTTCCCTTTCTTTCCTTCACTCACTCACACTCTTTTCTTTTGAGAAACGCCCTAAGTTACTCACAGAGGACAGTCGCTTCCCTCTGATGTGCTCCGTATTATCACTGGAAGGGAGAAAAGGGAAACGAGAATTAGGGCACACACTTGATGCGAGATGTATTTCTTCAGCAGCACTGCCACGTTTTTAAAGTCAATAAACTTATTTCCCCAGTATTTTTACAAGAGTGAAATTAAGTAAACAAGCTTGCTTGGAATAGATAACTCATTCCAGCATTAGCTCCCAAAAATAAGCTTTGGAAAATTCAGCGGATTGCCCTCCAGCCCCCACGGTCAGTTAGTCTCCAGACAATCCACTGCTATGAGATTTCCTCAGAGCTTTCCTGCACACGATCAAAGAAACTCCCTGTTCTTCTTCTTCCCAGTGGAAAATACTTTTCATTTGAGAGATACTGAAGTGCAGACAGGATGAAGGTAACGTGCCTCTAAATGACAATATTTATACCACAATAAGATTCTTACAAAGCTTCAACTTACTTTTCCATGTTAGGGTCTACATAAATCTTGTCCATTTCTGAAGGATATGCTTCTTCTATAAAACACGGTGCTGAAATCAAAAAATATTAATGAACCTCAGCAAAAAAATTGCATACAACCACAACCAGACACCAGCCTTAGATGCTATGATTTTCCTCTCCATCTTTCTCTAGTCACAGGAAAGCACTGAAGTTTAACAGGCCCCTCGGGTTCGCAATTTCCTATCCATATATCACGTTATAAACCAACTGTGCCCACAGTTTTGAGTCTCACTGGTTACTTGTTCTTTTATTTAAAGTTACGATTCTGGTGACTGTTGGAGATAAACGTGATCAAACCTTACACACCACAAACTGTGCTGGTTTGCTCAGGCACACAAGACAATTTTTCAATCACTAATTCTCCCCCTGCCCCAAGAATATCATATGCCTGCAGCTCTGAGGCCACAAAACTGAGGTGTGCTCTCAGGCAGGCACCCCCCACCATGGCTCCCCGGCCAGCGGCCCCAACGCTCCGGGCACAACTGCTGTACTGGAGCTGCATGAGCACACCAACGAAGGGATCTAACAGGTGGCCGTGCACACGGGTGTCTGGAGAAGGGCCAAAGAACGGAGCACGGCTATAGAAAGCCCCGTTTGCTCTGGAAGGAGTCTGCCATTAGGAGGTCTGTTAGTCTGGAGCTCACGTCCCAGTCAATGTGTGCAGTGGTCACTCTAGTTGAGCTTATCTCCATCTCTCTGACCTATGAGCACACGGCAGCGAGTTGAAACGCTTTGTTATTCTGTTTATGAAAAACCATCTCTTTTTTCCTCTTTTTCTTATACTCGGTAGCTAAGTACCTCCCAGCTCCACATCTGAACACAAAGAACCGCTCCATAGTTTTTCCGACTCACTCCTGACCAGATGCTCACCCCAGTCCTCCCCCTGAAAATCCCTCCCTAGGATTTTCAGGATGAAGAGTATCTCACCGACACTGTCAAAGGCAGTTAATTTCTCATTATGTGAACTAGAGAGGTTTATTCTCCCTCTGGTTTAGAAGCCGGAGCACAGACAGACCACACTGATCTTTGCTGTCAGAGTTTGGGGATGAAGGTTCTCGATGATGGAAAAGGAAGGGAAAGGCAAACACGGCGTCTTTGGTTTTGGCGCAGTCATCTGAGGGCTCCACGTCCGCTTCAGGTTGTGCAGCAAGATTAGAGTCTGATTCCTTCTGGCTCCATACGTAGGCACGAGCCAGATTCCCAGATCTATATGTTCCCAACCTTCCTCCCAGTGAGAGCACGATCCTGTCCGGCCTCTCCTCACGACCCCTTTCGCTCTGGAGCTGTCCCCTCCCGACCCCGCGCTCTTCCCCCGGGCCCCGGCGGGCTGACAGCCCGAGCGCTGACCTACACCTCGGCAGCACTTCCACCGGCGTTTTCCCAAGGGGAATGACCTCGCCTGGATCGCGCCTGCGTTTTTCGGTCAGTACAGCGGGAGATCCCCCTCACGCCCCGAGGCCGCCCCCACGAAATCTCCTCAGGCCCGAGCTCGGCGCCCCTCCGCCCTCTTTCCCGCTCGCCCCTGACGGCGCCAGGCTCGCGAGGAGGCCTCTCCTCCC